CTAGGCTCATTTAATTCTCACACAGCCCCATTTGACAGGTAGCGTTGCCACCCTCATTTTACAGAAGCAAAAACAGCATCCTACAGAAGATAAATAATTATCTGATATGCATTCGAGCCAAGATTTGAACCAAGCATTCCAACATCAGAGCCTGAACCCTTAGTTTTCCATTCTGCTTAGAATGAATCAGGCAGTTCCACAAAATACTGAATTGTATTACAAAGCTACTATAATAAAAAACCATTTTCCTGGCATAAGAAAAGATAGGGAAAAGGGATCATTAAAACATAATCAAGATTTCATGGGGCGCCTGGATGGCTCAGTCAGTCGAGCGTCCAACTCTTGATTTCCGTTTGGGTCATGATCTCTGGTTAGTGGGAATGAGCCCTGCATCTGGCTGCCTGCTCAGCAGGGAGTCCGCTTGGGGTTTTCTGTCTCAGTCTCCCACTACTCCTCCCCCTGGCACTCTCTCTCTTTCTCTCAAATAAATAAATAAATGTTAAAAAAAAAACATAATTAAGATTTCAGACAAATCCTTGTGAGAAATTGTTACATGCTAAAGGTAGCCTTTCAGATGAGTGGAGGAAAAAAATGGGTGCTAAATACTATTGGGACAATATTGATTATCAATTTGGAATAAATAAAAGTAAAACAAAGCTAGATCTTGACCTCAACTGTTACACCAAAATAAATTCCAGAGAGGTCAAAGATTTAATGCAACAATAAAATGTCTAAAGTATTGTACAAAGATACAGGTATATTGTCATTGTTTTAAATAATCTAGTAGTGAGTAAGATCTTTCTAAACATAACCAAAAAAGAAAAAGGAAAAGAGTGATAAATGTAACTGTGTTGAAACAAATTTTCATGCCAAAAGAAGTAATAGAAAAGAACAAAGTGGGAAAATATTTGCAACACATATAACAAAAGAACTTCCTTAGTGTACAGAGGACTTTAATAAATCAATAAAAGAAAGATGAAAAGGTGAGCACCACACCAGAAAACTGGACAAAGAATTTGAACACAGTTCAACACAAATATGGAAATACATTAAAAAAAAAACTCTTATTGTGGAGAATTTTAAACATATAGAAAAGCAGAGAGATTGGTGCATTGGACAATCCCCCCACCCTGCACCCATTCCCAGTCATCAAGGCAGTAAGTCATGGCCACTCTTGTGTGTTAAACACACACATACACACACACACACACACACACACACACTCTTCCAACCTACCCATCCCTACACTACATCATTATGAAGCAAGTCATTTTATCTGTAAATGTATCAGAGAGCATATACGATTAGAAAATGCTGTTTTTCCTATTATAGTGCCAAAGATCAATTATTTTTTTAAAAAGGATTTTATTTATTTGTCAGAGAGAGCACGTGTGGGCACAAGCAGGGGAAGTGGCAGGCAGAGGGAGGAGCAGGCTCCCCACAGAGCAAGGAACCAGATTCGGGGCTCCATCCCAGATGCTTAACTGACTGAGCCACCCAGGTGTCCTGAAGATCAATTAATTGGTATTAATTGAGCCAAGGGTCTTGAAAAAGGGAGAAAACTGAAAAAATGTAGCTCACGCCAGATACTCTCTGAAGGGGAAAAAAGGGAGTTCTGACTGTTTTCAGCTTTCAGCCACAACCGCTTGAATACTGAATCTAGTGCAAGAGCACAGGAGGTGGGGCGCCTGGGTGGCTCAGTCGGTTAAGTGTCTGCCTTCAGCTCGGGTCATGATCCCGGGGTCCTGGGACCGAGCCCCACGTCAGGTTCCCTGCTCAGTGAGGAGTCTGCTTCTCCCTCTTCCTCTGCCCCTCCACCCCGCTCATTCTCTCTCTCTCTCTCTCTCTCTCTCTCAATCAAAAAAAAAAGACGCATTGGAGGCCTTAGCTGTACAGGAGGACTTGGGTTGAACAGGAGTAGGGAAAGGAGTTAGAAATCAATTCTTTCTAAGGACATTATCCGTGTTCCAAGTATTCACAGTCTGGGGGATGGTGGTGTTAGCCTGTAAATTTCTTGAGGACAGGCACCTCATCTTCTGCACGAAAGCCTTACAGTGTATCTGCCCATAGGTAATCAACAACCATGAAGAGCTACTTCGATGGACATACCCTCCCTCACAAGGCTGATGGACATTGACATCATCAGTCCAGAAACGCTGTGTGACTCCATATGAATAAAATGAATAGCAGCTATTGAGGAAGGGCTGGGTCTGCAGAGTTCCCAGGCACATGCCGACAGGTATGCTGCCTGATATGGAGAACAGGTTTCCTGCCCAGAAACTGCCTAAGTCACTTCTTTCACGTGATCAGCACTGTTGGTGCTTTGCCTTCTTTATAATTATACTGCAGGTCAGGGAGGGAGCTGGTGACTCAACAAGCTGGGACCAGGCTTCTGGGTGGACTTGAGTGGCTGTGCAGGGCATGCTGTGAGGACTTTCAGATTAGGCATTTCCTTTAAGATGGTTTGAATGAAATGGACTTGGTCCTGAATGGGCTGGACAAGAGACTCGCTGAGCCTGAAACCACAAATGTCACTTAACAGCCAACTAAATTTCTTAATCTCCAAAACCCTTGATCATGAGCAAGGTGACTTCATTCTCTTCAACAAACCTTGGCTATTTAAGCACATACTCTGTAGGTATATGTGGGGAGAAAGGGCACAGCGGGTTACAAAAAGGAATATGGTGAAGTCTTTGGCCTTGGTGATTTTACAGTCTAGAAAGGATGGACACTGTGTGAATGAGGCTAACAATTTTTGAGTCTCTGCAGTGCTCCAGGCACTGTATTAGGGACTTAACGTGCATTATGTAAGGACAATTCAAGGTCAAAAGTGCTATAAGAGTTCAGAAATGTTTTGAAGCTATCTTGAGGAACTAACATTGGAACTAGCACTTGAAGAACAGGTATGATTTCAACCACGTTGAACTGGTGAAAGCAATCGTGGGAGCGAGGATGTATTAATCAAAGCCCAAATAGGTGATGGGCTTCTGGAATGGGACATATGCTATCTGGCTCAGTACACTGTGTTTTCTAAAACCTAACACTGTTGCCATAGCCTCCTACTTGATCTTCCCACCTCCTCTCTCTTCCTGGTGCATTCTACAAACAACTGTGAGATCCATTTTCATAAAACCAATATTGGATTAAATCAGGACCCTACTTAATCTACTTTCTTTTAAAAGGAAGAAAGTTAGGAGGGAGAGGAAGAAGGGCAGGATAAAGGGAGGGGCGAAACTTTCAATGAATACTTAATCCCCATAGAAGAAAGTCCAAACTCCTTATCATCCAAAGCTTTGAGGACCTAGCAGTGCCCATTGGCGCATTTTTAGCTTCTGCTCCTGCCACTCCTTCCCCCAGAGCTCCTCCTGCTTCCTACATTCTAGCCATCCCTCACACATGCCAGATATTTACTCTCCTGTGCCTTTATTCATGCTTTGTCTTCTGGCTGAAATGGCCTAGATTCTGTCAAAATCAGTTTAAGATTTTAAGATTTAGTTTAACAGACACTTTCCCCATGAAATTCCTAGCCACTCATTCCAAATTAAGGGGTCTCTCCTCCGTGGCCTTGTGGTGCAATCTGCCTCAGTTCTACCATTTGTCACTGTTTATCTTCTAATATTCAACCTGGAGTCAGGTGACCTGGGATCAAACGCCAACTTTGCCACTTAAAAGCTGCATGGATTGGGGAACATCTATGTCTCTGAGGCTTAGCTTTCCTCATGTGGGATACTTAAGATCGACGTCACAGAATAAGGAAATAAGATATGTGGAAGTACTTTATAAATCTTCACACATGTAACATTTTTAGATTTACATTTTTAAACATGTAAAAGGTAACAAGTTTCTATCCCACTAGAATGTAAGCTCCCAAAGAGCAGGATTAAAAAAAAAAAAAACACCTTTCATTTTAAAATAATAGATACAAGAGTTGCAAAGATATAGAGAATTCCCACATACTCTTTACCCGATTTTCCCTGCTGTTAACATCTTATCTTGTCTATTTATCAAAGCTAAGAAATTTGTATCAGTATAATACTATTAGAACTGAGTAGTTGACAATACCTAGTAAGAAGGGGGCGGGAGGTATGTTAACCATTTAGGAGACACCAGATGATTGGAAAGAATTAGGGACTGAGTGCAAAATAAAATGAAAGGAATGATTAAATATCTATTTCACTTTCCTTTAGGAAGTTTAACCATGAAAGTTAGAAGGGGAGGATTTTGGCAGCAAACAATAGAAACAGCTGAGGAAAGGTCTTATTTTAGTTCTGCGACTAATCCCTGACACGTGATCTCACATAAAACACTTAACCTCTCAAGTCATTAACCTTCTTTAGAAACGGTATTAAAAGATATCTGGTCTACCAGTTTCGCAAGACTTGTGTTCAGGAGCCTGCTTCTCAGCAAAAACGTGAGCTCCTCGAGGGCAGCTGCTATACGTACCTTTGATTAACATGCTCAGGGCCTCACAGAGCCATGACAATCGTTCGAAAAGTGCTTGCTGAATGGAGTGTAAAGTGTTGAGTAATGAGCCCCGAAGCCTACTGAGATCTTACTGTTCACCTAACACTATGCTATGGCACGTCACTAGCATTCTTCACAATCCTGAGGTAGGCACTATAATTACCCCCCATCTGGCGCAGGCACGGGCCCAAGTCCCCAGCTGATGGGTCTTGGAAATGGGATGACTTTTTTCACTCAAAAGCCATCGAGCTACAGAGCACGCTCCATGGCGTGGAGTGGAAGGGGTCAGAACCAATAATTCACCTCAAGTATAAGACATTTGGAAAAAGAAGGGAACAGATCTCGACCCCGGGTGTCCTCTCTGCCCCTAGGCCGGAGCCGCAGTGCGCTTGTGCTCAGCTTCACCGCCACAAACCCAGGGAGCGCTTCAAAGATGTCGCTGCAGGCCTCGCGAGATCCCAGGGCAAAAGCGAGACCCGGCGGCTGGAGCCTGGGTAGCGCGCGTGCTGATGACAAAAGCGGAAGTGCTGGGGCCAGAGGCGGGGCGAGAGCCCGGAGGGGGCTTAGGATTGCGGAAGTTTTGTGAGAAGGGTCGGGCGGCTCTTGGAGCGCCGTTCGTTTTTGGAAGTTCCAGAGAGGAACCTGCTGCTCGGGTCCGAGAGCCACCGGCCTGCACACGTTTGGGGGCAACACCCGGCGCGATTCGACGTTGCCGCTGTTGGCTTCCTCTGCCCTCGTTCCTCCCCAGAGAATCGCCTCGGATCTCCGCCATGACATCCACCTCGTCCAACCTCCAGGTATCACTGTTCTCCCGCCCCCTGGAGAGCCGGAGCCTAGGGGCGGCGCGGGTTTGGGAGTGGGGGCCGAGGAGGAGGGAGGAAGCGGCCGCGCCCCTAGTGCGGGGCGGAGGAGGGCGGCGCTCGTGCCCAACCTGCAGGCGGGAGGGTCGGGCTCTTTCCTCCAGCTTCCGGGGTCTCCAGAGCCCACCGGCTATGTGGAAATCTTCACTTTGTTTGAGGTGGTTTTTTTTCCTCTTTTGAACCGAACTGGGCATGGCTTTGAACGAGAGGCCCAGACGCTCCAATCACTGTAAGAGAAAAGAACATAAGGTTTGCAAAGCACTGCCCTGAGCCAGTTGAAGATAAGGTGGTCTTAGTTCTCCGTCTCTCAAGCTGGTATGGCAAAGCCCTTCTCTTTTAGCTGTCAGGTGTATAGAACTATGAGGACAGTCTTAGAATTTGAGGGATCCGTGAATTCATTGAGCTGTGCATTCATGTGCTCCCAAAATGGATACAAAATCAGGGAGTAGTTTTAAGCTCCTTTGTGCTCCACCTTCCCACCCCTACCGCAGCGAGTACAGTGTTTTGTACATAAATCAGACTTCTAAACTTTTAGACATAATTGTTGGATCTCTATGGAATTCATTTGAGAAGACAAATCTCTGAAATGGTGCTTCCCATCCCTAGAATGGATCTGAGGTTTCAGAGGGGTTTAGGATGTGTCTTAACCTCGAGGACTCCCAGTCCACTAGGTCAGTTTTGGGGAAAGATCGGCATAAAATATCTGTGTTGAGTCCTTGTCTTGGTCTTGCAGTAGTTGATGAGACATTTATTGAGTGCCTGGGGCAAGCTCAAGGATAATGGAAGACCTGCGCAAACGAGGGTAATTGATCCTGAAGAAAGACCGCTGAAAGTAGATCCATTTAAATAGAGCTCAAAAATTCACCAAAAAAAAAAAAAACTTGGGGGAGGGAGGAGCTTTCCTGGGACTTTTACCTTGAAAATGGACCCAAAAGATTGTATCAAAGTGAACGTTTTATATATCTCAAAACATCATTGCAACTGTGACTTAGAATCAAGAATAGGTCATATGTCGATTTTTGTATCTTTCCCAACAGGCTTGCGTTTAGTAAGATATAATAAAGATAAAATAATCTCCACTTAACATTGTTTGTTTGTTTGTTTGTTTGTTTATTTTTTGTAGTCCCATTCAGAAAGGGTCTTTTTGGTAAATGTTCTTGGAAAAAGTATTGTCCCTTTGAATATCAAAGGCAATTTCTTTTGAAGTGCTGTCTTCATCCTTGTTGGTCAGTTAACTCGTTTTATTCCACTAACTTTTCATTTGTCAAGACCTTGCATGTAATCTGGACATTCCGCAACATAATTTTCATCCACTCACTGATACCTTTTTTCTTTTGTAATAACTGCACTTTCATTCTGTACTCCGTTTGCATCATATTTGAATTGGGGCAGGTGTTCCTCAATGAATCAGACTGACACATATTAAGGGCATGTTGCTGGTGTTAAACAGGGAGAGATGTTGAGTTATAATTTTATTGTGGCTGGGTCATAGGTGCCCTTTCTCATTCAACCTTTTTAACCTTCTAACCTAGGAAATTTGGATGAAGAATATTCAAATAACAAATAATTTTCCCACCGAACAAGGCAAGACTCCCCGTAACCAGATGCTTATAATCTAATGGAGGAATGCAGATAATTAAAAATCAAAATTATAAGATAGTACAATAGTGCTATAATAGAAGTAGAGTTGAGTGCAGGAGGGCAGAAAGGAAATGTTTCACAGAGATGATGTGAGCTTAGATAATGTGAAAGGTACTGACACTAATTGTCCACCTGGTATTTGGTGTGATCTTATTTAATCTTCAAAACAACTCTTCAATATTACTCCAGTTTCTCAGTGTAAGAAACGAAAGTATATTAAAGTTGTGATTTTAATTAGTTTTGAAGTTAGTTTTGAATCCAGGTTTATTTGCTTGTAAGTTTGTGCTTTCTTTCACTATGAAATTAGGCCTTTTTGGACAAGAAAATGGGATGCGTTTCACGTAAAGACAAAGAATATATACCTCAGTCTAGAAGTGTAATAAACCTTGGAGAGGGTTGGGAGAAATTGCAAGTAATGCAGTATGCATAGAACTCAAGTTTACTCCTTATCCTAAATATGCCATTCATTTTTGCTAAGTCTTAGGGAATCATAAAAGCAATATATCACCCTTGATTTCCCAGGGCTTGTATTCTGATGCGAGAAGACATGTAAAGTGGCCGAATGGGGATACTGTGTGATCTTTGGAAGTGTGCACCAGCGGCAGTGGAAATTTCGAGGGCGCATAGGCTAGGCCCCCTGGGGTGGGGGTGGGGGGGCTTTGCAGCAGGAAGACCATGACTATGCTGATGCTTAGAGAAGCTGGAGTCTCACTGGAAGATAGTCAGGTAGTATATTCCAGGTAGAGAGTGCACCGTAAACGAAGGCCTGAGGTCTGAGTTGTCTGGGTTGTCCCTAGTTTGGTAGGACTGGGACTGAGTGTGTAAGGTGGGAGGACCGGCCTAGTTAGGCCATGGAGAGGTGTGTGCCACACAGAGATGATTGCTCTGTAGATGGAGAATCAGAAAGAAATCTGCCCGGGTTTTTATTGTAGAAGGAGACTATCATTTGTGTGCAGGGGACAACTTGATTGGTAGCAGGCCTGGAAATAGGGAGACCAGTTGGGAAGGCAGGGTTCTGTGTGATGGGAGATGGTGAGGGCCAAAGTAGTGTAGTACCTGTTAAAGAAGAAGAGAGGATTGATCAGAGACAGATTGAAGAGGAAGAACGGTCAGGCCTGGCTCTGCACTTAGAAGGAGAGCGCAGGAGGAGTCTGGCTTTTCTCCCAGATCCCTGGGTTGCATGGGGAGGAACTGGTTCTGGGATTACAAGAAGAGGGGCATATTTGGGGGCAGGTGTTCTGGAACATTTGAGCTTGAAATGCGTTGTGGGGAAAACCAAGTGGAAATGTTCAATGAGTGGTTGGATACATATGCACAGAACTAGAGAGAGGGGGCCAGGCTGGAAACGAGGGTTTGAGAGTTAATAGTGTACAGATGGTAGCAGAGGTTGTGGGCATCCTGGAGAGTTCATAGAATGAGGAAAAACAAGGAACAGGTAGAAACTCTGGAATAGTGGCATTTAAGGAGAGAGAAAAGGGAGTCTGAAAAAGAATCATTAATATAATCCAGAGTAAAACCAGGAGAGAATGGTGCCATGGAGGCTAACGGAGGAGGAGGCCATGTCCAGTTGTCTGTTAGGAGGATTAAATGCTGTGGAGAGAGAGGTAAGTGTGAGACCTGGTAGTCAGCAGGAAGCATTGCCGTGGAAGAATCAAGGAACTGTGATGAACTTGGAGTTCTTTTGGGATTTTGCTATGGAGCTGAAAAGATGAGTAAGGTAGTTACTAGAGAGGAACCTAGGAACTGGGGAGAGCCGGTGTGTTTTAGTTTGTGTTTTGTAGATATGAGTTTGAAGTAGGACTTTACATACATGTTTATGCGGAGGAAGGCCCCAACAAAAAAGGGGGGGAGGGGGAAGGTTAGGTTGGGGAGAGCAGTAGAGTGGCATATAATTGATAGGGTGAATGTCAGAGAAGGAAGGTGAGGATGGTCTCCAGAGCATAGGGAAAAGACATAGCATTGACAGGAAAATATCCAGTGGGGAAAAATGGTTAGAGATTATAGAGGTAAAATAACCAAAAGGAAGATTTTGAGAAAGCAATTGGGGATTTTTTTCATTTGTTCAACAATTTTATTAAGTACCCAGTGTGTGCCAGGCACTGTTCCAGGCTCTGGGGATAGGGCAGTGCTGCAGTTGAAGTCCCTGTGCTCATGGAGCTCACGTATATATATAAGGAGATAGGCAATGCGTGAGTGTCTACAGATAAATGTAACGATAAGCACAATGATGGGCTGGGGGTGAGAGAACTGAAGGCAGCGACGGAGGGAGTACAGCCTCTGAAATCGATTAGGCAGGGCCTCTCTGAGGACTTGGCATTTGCTCTATGGCTGAAAAGGAGACTGTCATGCACCTATGCGGGGGGGAAGAGCATTCTAGGCAGAGGGACCAACAGTGCACAGGCTGCCTGCGTGAAGGTGGACTAACGGGTTTGAGATGCAACCCAGAAGGAGCTAGGGCAGGGTCACTGAAGGCCTTGTAGACCATGACCATGACCCAGCAGTGGAAATCCATCAAAGGGGCCGGCCCTTCACTGGTTGCCATAAGGACTTCAGGGTGTTGAGTGCGGAAGCAGGCTGACCGCTTAGGAGGCACAGTGGTAGTTTTGACACATGTATTAGTGGATTGAGCTAGGATAGTAGCGATGGAAGTGGTCAGGACTAAGAGTAGTTGGCACTCCAGAACCATGCAAGACATAGTTAATTTCATTTCAGATGAAAAATGCTGACAGAAACAAGGGTGAAGTGGGATATTCAGCAAGGGAAAAACAGATGCATATTCTCAAATCATGTTTGATTAAAGGTTTAACATGCGCTGTCTAGTACAGTAGCTACAAGTAGCTGTTTAAATTTGAATTTTACTTAAGATTTAAAAGTCCTCAGTCACGCTAGCCACAGGTGCTCAGAAGCCGATTATAGATAGTGGCTTGCATTTTAGACAGTGCAAATACAGTCATGACCATCAGAGAACGGCTGGTTTAAAGTCATTAGTACCGTACTTGGCGCTAGATGATTAGATACTGACTGTAAGAGTTTTCCTTTAACCATCATTATGGTGCCAAAAAGAGGACTAACTGCCAGTGAGGGGAGTGTGTAGCTGGAGAGGTGAGTAGCACAGCAATTCAAAATAGTAGAAGAAAACTGTAGCTAGAATAAGAAAGAACTTATTTCCTCTGCATGGCGTAGCCACAAGTCTTCTGCATCCTTTTTTAAATGACCAGGTGCACCAAACCACCAGTTGACCATGTGTATGAGTGCTGTGACTCCACCCTTTATATCCTGCCTAACTTACCAAACTTTTGAAAATTTAGCTTCAAGTTCAGGCTATTTGAGCTGTGAAATACGTACTACTACATCTTATCAATGCTAAAACACCATTTCTTTTTTTTTCCCCTCCTGCTACAACAGATGGAGGGCCTATTCCTCCCATTTGCAGTTTTCATCCTATCTGCAGTCCATACCAACTGCTTCAAAATATACTATTCTCATGTGATTGGTTTGGGATTGTTTGAATGATTTTTTTGTCTTATCTTAATTATATGCTTATTTTTACTATAGCATCACCATGATCCTTTTTTCTACTGGCTCTTATTCTTGGTGGATACAGTTTTACTACCTGGATGAATCAGGTGGAATGTTTTAATAAACTATGCTTGTTGTTATATATATGTGTATATTTTTAAATATTAAAAATAGTTTTTTAATGAAAGTTTTATTTTGTGATAACCACAGGTTCACATGCAGTTGTGAGAAATAATGGAGAGAGATCCTGTTTACCCTTTGCCCATAGTGGTAGCATCTTATAAAACTACAGTACAGTATCATAACCCGGATGTTCACATTGATACATTCCACCAGTCTTACTCAGATTTTCCAGTTTTACGTGTACTCATGTATGTATATATATATATTTTTTTTAAAGATTTATTTATTTGAGAGAACGTGTGCGCACAAGCAGGGGGAATGGCAAACAGAGGGAGAGGGAGAAGCAGACTCCCCACTGAGCAGGGAGCCCAACCTGATGTGGGGCTCTATCCCAGGACCCTGAGCTGAAGGCGGCCACTTAACTGACTTAACCACCCAGGCGCCCCTCTACTCATGTATAATTTGTGTGTGTGTTCAGAGTTCTGTCACATGGGTAAGTGTCTTCCATCCCAGTCATGATACAGAATAGTTCTATCCAGGGACGCCTGGGTGGCTCAGTTAAGCAACTGCCTTAGGCTCAAGTCATGATCCTGGAGTCCCAGGATCGAGTTCTGCATCGGGCTCTCCGCTCAGTGGGGAGACTGCTTCTCCCTCTGACTCTCTCCCCTTTCATGCTCGCTCTCACTCTCTCTCAAATAAATAAATAAAATATTTAAAAAAAAGAAGAAGAAGAAGAGTTCTATCCACAGGGATCCCTCCTCTGGCCCTTTTAGAACCATAATCACCTCCCTTTCTCTTCCCCTGCCCCACATCCTTGTTTCCTGACAATACTAATATGCCCTCCATCTCTGGTTTTGTCATTTTGAGAAGGTTATAAAAATAGAATCATACAATATGCAACCTTTTGGAATTGGTTCTTTTCACTTAGCATAATTCTCTCAAGATTCATTCATGTCCTGTGGATCACGGTAGTTCCTTTTCATTACTGAGTAGTACTCCATGCTGTGGGTGTATCACAGTTTGTTTAACCACTGTAAGGTTAAAGGACATCCGGAATATTCATGTATAAATTTTTGTGTGAACACAAGTCTTCATTTCTCTGGGATAAATACCCAGGAGTGCAGTTGCTGGTTAATTACAGTAGCTGCATGTTTACATTTGTCAAAAAACAAACCAGTTCCCAGAGTGGCTCTACCATTTTCATCCTACCAGCAATGTATAAGTGATCAGTTCTCTGTATTCTTACTAGCATTGGGTATTATTGTCATTATTTTTTTATTTTAGCCATGCTGATAGATGTTTTGAGATATCTCATGGTGGTTTTAATTTGCCTTTCTCTAGTGGCTAATGATTTTAAATATCTTTTTGTGTGCTAATTTGCCATCAGTATTACCTCTTTGGTGAAATGTCTGTTCTTGTCTTCAGCTGACTTTCTACTTGAATTCTTTTTAAACTGTTCAGTTTGGGGAGTTCTTCCTATATTCTAAATACTAGTCCTTTCCTAAATATGTAGTTTGCAAATATTTCTCCCAATCTGTAGCTTGTCTTTTCATCCTTTTAACAGGATTTTTTACAGACCAAAAGTTTTTTAATTTGATGAGGTCCAACTTATCATTTTTCTTTTCTTTCTTTCTTTTTTTTGAAGTATAATTGACATGTAACACATTTGCTTCAGGTGTATAATATGATTCATTATTTGTATATATTGTGAGTTATCAGTACAATAAGTCTGTTTAATGTCTCTCACCTTTCATTGTTAGAAAAATGGTTTTCTTGTGATGAGAACTTTTAAGACTTACTCCCTTGGGAACTTTCAAGCATGCAATGCAGTATTATTAACTGTAGTCACCATACTGTATATTACATTCTTATGACTTACTTATTTTGTAATGAGAATTTTGTATCTTTGGACTCCCTTCACCTGTTTCACCTTTCCCCACTTCTTGTAACTACCAGTCTGTTCTCTGTATCTATGAGATTGGGGTTTTTTGTTTGTGGATTTTTTGTTGTTTAGATTTCACACATAAGTGAGATCATACAGTATTTGTCTTTCTCTGACTTACTTCATTTAGCAAAATGCCCTCAATCTATTTGTGTTGTCACAAATGCCAAGATTTCCCCTTTCTTATGGCTGAATAATATTCCATTGTATATGTATACCACATTCTCTTTATCCATTCATCTGTTTGTGTACAAGTAGGTTGTTTCCATATCTTGGCTATTTTAAATAATGCTGCAGTAAACATTGGGGTGCATATATTTTTTTGAGTTCAGGTTTTCATTTTCTCTGGGTAAATACTCAGGAGTGAAATTGCAGAATCATATGGTAGTTCTATTTGTAGTTTTTTGAGGAACCTCCATAGTGTTTTCCATAGTGACCGCACCAGTTATAATCCCATCAGCAGTGCACGAGGGTTCCCTTTTCTCCACATCCTCACCAAACTTGTTACTTCTTGTTTTATTGATAACAGCCCTTCTTACAGGTGTGAGGTGATAGCTCATTATAGTTTTGATTTGCATTTCCCTGATGATTAGTCATGTTGAATGCTGTTTCAGATACCTTTTAGGCATCTGTTATATCTGGAAAAACGTCTGTTCAGATCCTTTACCCATTTTTTAATTGGATTGCTTGGTTCTTTTGCTGTTGAGTTGTATGAGTTCTTTATATATTTTGGATATTAACCCCCTAGCAGATACACGATTTGCAAATATTTTCTCCTGTTCAGTAGGTCACCTTTTCATTTTGTTGATGGTTTCCTTTGCTGTGCAGAAGCTTTTTGGTTTGATGTGGTCCCACCTGTTTATTTTTGCTTTTATTGCCTTTGCTTTTGATTATCAAATCCAAAAAATCATCACCAAGACCAGAGTCCAAACTTACTTGCCTATATTTTCGTTAAGGAGTTTTATGGTTTCAGGTCTTATGTTCAAATCTTTAATCCATTTTGAGTTAATTTTCATGGATGGTGTAATACAGTAGGACAGTTTCATTGTTTTGCATGTTGCTGTCCAGTTTTCCCAACACCATTTCATTTTTAAAATTTACTTATTTACTTTAGAAAGAGAGAGCACGAGCAGGAGGGGCAGAGGGAGAGAGAGAATCCCAAGCAGACTCCGCTGAGCGTGGGGCACAACGCAGGGCCCAGTCCCATGACCCTGAGATCATGAGCCGAGCCAAAAGCAAGAGTCGGATGCCCGACCGACTGCACCACCCTGTCACCTCACCACTTATTGAAGAGACTGTCCTTTTCTCTTTGGATATCCTTGGCTCCTGTGTGGTAAATTAATTGACCATATATGTGTGTGGGTTTATTTCTGGGCTTTCTGTTCTGTTCCATTGATCTATGTGTCTGTTTTTATGCCAATACCATATTCTCATTTTATATATTGTGCTTTTTGGTATGTAGTTCCAGAACCCTTTGCCTAGCCCTGGATGCTAAAAATTCTCTGTGTTTTTCCTAAAGATTTTATAGTTTCACATTTTATATTTAAGTCTATAATCCATTGTGAGTTAATTTTTTTTTTTTTTTCAAATTAAATAGGCTAGAAGTCCAGGTACAGCATATCTCAGGTAGGTTCTAGCTCGGAGTTTTACCAGGCTGACATTAAGGTGTCTGCAGGGCTGCATTTTTGTTTGTTTTTGAAGGCTCTAGGGGTGGATGTATCTGCTTCTAAACACATTCAGGTTGTTGGCAGATTTCAGTTTCATGTGGTTGTCAGACTGAGGTTCTTTTTCTTGGTTGTCGGCTGAGGGTGATTCTCCCCCTGTAGAAGCCACCTGCATACTCTGACTTGTTGCCACTTTCTTCTTCCATCCAGTGTGGTTGGTTGAATTTTCATCCTGCTTCTGTTCTTTCTGACCTTTCCTTCTGCCTCTTATCTCCTACTTTGAACCAGAGAAAATTCTCTGCTTTTAAGAGCATATGTGATTTTTAGAAAGTTTTTATTTAAATTCCAGTTAGTTAATTAGTTTTGGGTGAACAATATAGTGAGATAATTTTTGTACAGAGTGGTTTAGGTCAAGATTCTCTGTCTCTGGGCACCTGTTGGGTGGCTCAGTCAGGTGAGGGTCTGACTTTTTTTTTTTTTTTAACATATAAAGTATATAGTGTATTATTTGTTTCAGGGGTACAGGTCTGTGATTCATCAGTCTTACACAATTCACAGCACTCACCATAGCACATACCCTCCCCAGTGTCACCCAGCCACCCCATCCCTCCCACTCCCCTCCCCTCCAGCAACCCTCAGTTTGTTTCCTGAGATTAAGAGTCTCTTACGGTTTGTCTCCTTCTCTGGTTTCGTCTTGTTTCATTTTTCCCTCCCTTCCCCTATGATCCTTTGTCTTGTTTCTCAAATTCCTGATATCACTGAGATGATATGATACTTGTCTTTCTCTGATTAATTTATTTCACTTAGCATAATACCCTCTAGTTCCATCCACATTGTGGCAAGATTTCATTTTTTGATGGCTGCATAATACTCCATTGTATATATATATACCACATCTTCTTTATCCATTCATCTGTTGATGGACAGCTAGGCTCTTTCCATAGTTTGGCTACTGTGGACATTGCTGCTATAAACATTGGGGTGCACGTACCCCTTCGGATCACTACATTTGTATCTTTGGGGTAAATACCCAGTAGTGCAGTTGCTGGGTCATATGGTAGCTCTATTTTCAACTGTTAGAGGAACCTCCATACTGTTTTCCAGAGTGGCTGCACCAGCTTGCATTCCCACCAACAGTGTAGGAGGGTTCCCCTTTCTCCGCATCCCCACCAACATCTGTTGTTTCCTGACTTGTTAATTTTAGCCACTCTGACTGGTGTGAGGTGGTATCTCATTGAGGTTTTGATTTCTATTTCCCTGATGCTGAGGATGTGAAGCACTTTTTCATGGGTCTTTTGGTCATTTGGATGTCTTCTTTGCAGAAATACCTGTTCATGTCTTCTGCCCAGGGTCTGACTCTTGATCTCAGCTCAGGTCTTGATCTCAGGTTTGTGAGTTCAAGCCCCGTGTTGGGCTCCATGCTGGGCGTGGAGCCTGCTTTAAAAAACAAACAAAAAAAAAAGATGCTCAGTCTCTGTGTTTTGGGTTTTTTTTCTTACAGATGTCTAATTGCTCCAGCACTGGTTCTTCCACCATTAACTTGGTTTTGCATATTTGTATGGATCTATTTCCGGAGTTTTTGTTTTTGTTTTTTTTTTTAATTCTACACAAAAGCCCATGTTCATTATAGGCATCTTTAAAAGATGTGAAAAAGCAGAAAAAGAAAAAGTTGAGTCTTATCAAAGACAGCCTCTCTTAAATTTTCTTTCCGTCCTTTTCCTGGGGTATTTTTGTTCATCCTTGCTGTTTCAGATAGGAATAGGGTTATTTGAATGATCCTCTAATAATTTATTGTGTAACATCTTTTTGCTGCTTAAAATTCAAGCTTTCCGGTTTTATTTTGTTTTGTTTTAAAGACCCCTCTGGTTACTATCTTGGTTCAGTTAACCTTGTAGATAATTACTGGATTAAAAGATTTGGGTATTTTCAAATTCTTGATATTTCATTGCCCCACTGCTTCTGAGGGGGTTTTATACCATTTATATTTTACTATTGTTATGTACTTTATCTATAACAGCAGTGGATTTTTGAGAATTTCCCTGAATGATTTTAACATGAATTTTCATAATATTCAGATATTCCTTACTAGCTCTTAGCTTGACTTCCGTTGAATGAAAATTGTATGAGAATCTTAGTGATTAGTACTGGATAAAGTAGAAATCAGATAGCATTTACCCGTATAACAAATGTAGTTTACATTTTATAAATCATTACAATTTATAATAACATGCAATTGAGATTTAGAGAAAACAGATGGGTTTGTTTTAAGCTTGCTTTTATTAAAAAAAAAACTTTCAGTATGAACATTTACTTCAAAGTAATGCTTATGTGATTTTGATGGTATGATTTTGCCTCCCTTCAAACAGAAAGCAATAGATCTTGCTGGCAAAGCAGCCCAGGAAGACAAAGCTGGGAACTATGAGGAAGCTCTTCAACTCTACCAACACGCTGTTCAGTATTTTCTTCATATAGTTAAATGTAAGGTCATGGTTTGCTTTTTATTTTAAAACGTTAAAGGAAAAGATTATTCTATTTCATTTATAAAAATTGAAGTACAGTGCCAGAAAATTCTAAACCATCCATTTGCAAAAAACTCCCCCTAGCTTGTTAGTAATTTTTGAGTATTCAGCAAACAAGTGTGCACAGTTACCATAGTTAATTATTACTTTGTATGTCTAAGCATATTAAAATACCACATAGTCAATGGAAATAGTTTTTTATTGGTAATGTACTCAGATTATGTATGAACCTCACATTTTCTAAGCATCTCTGAAAATACTCTTTTAAGTACATTAAAAAAAATAGGTTGGGAAACATTTTATTTGTATATTTTCAAAATATGTATTGCATGTTTCCCATGTGCCAGGTATTGTAGACACTGGAATACAGCAGTGAGGGGAAAATGGGTAAAAAACACTGTCTTTCTTGATCTTAAATCTAATGCTGAGCATTTGAAAACAGTGTCTTTCTTAAAGTTATTTTTTTTTTTTAAGATTTTATTTATGTATTTGACAGAGAGACACAGCAAAAGAGGGAACACAAGCAGGAGGAGCAGGAGAGGGAGAAGCAGGCTTCCCACGGAGCAGGGAGCCCAATGCGGGGCTCGATCCTAGGACCTTGAGATCATGACCTGAACCAAAGGCAGACGCTTAATGACTGAGCCACCCAGGCGCCCCTCTTAAAGTTATTTTTAAATAACAGTTTTAGTATTTGAATAACTCAGGATTTTCTTTTGAGCTCCATTTCATTTTGAGGTTTTTCTGTCAAATAAAAGTGAAACTAAGAATGAATCATAACATAAGATATGTGGGGCTAGTCCCATGCACTGCACGTCCTGCCGAAGTCTGCTTTTGAAATTGCTTTCACAGAGACCTTTATGTAGTAAAATTACAATATTAGTAGTACATATAATATATGGGATTCTGTCATTTTTTTTGCTATGAAATAAAGTTTATGTAGACATTAATGGAAATGGTTAATATTACTTCTGTTTGTCTTATAATTGGTTTTGTATGAGACAAGCAGCTTTCAACTATCTGCACAAAATGTTATGGGAAGAATATAAAACCCAAAGAATATTAAACAATTTCTTATTATTTAACATTAACTTAAAATATCCTAGTGTCTTGCTCAGATCTTTTTTCTGACTCAGACCCACTCTTGGCCTCCAACCATGCTGGAGGCAGCAGAGAAGAGTTGATGATCATTGGTTATGATGAGCTAGGGATGCTCTTCCTCCCTCCCCCAAAATAGATTATCCTTGTCTCAGAATTGTGTCTAGGTTTAAACCTGTCTGTTTAAACCCAGAATACTAATGGAAAAATCTCTCTCATTTCCCTTTAATAGATGAAGCGCAGGGTGATAAAGCCAAGCAAAGTATCAGGGCAAAGTGTACAGAATATCTTGATAGAGCAGAAAAACTAAAGGAGTACCTGAAAAAGAAAGAGAAAAATCCACAGAAGCCAGTGAAAGAGGGACAGCCAAGTCCAGCTGACGAGAAGGGGTATGTATTTTAGAGTGTTAGATTTTATTATATCTAATTAAAAGATAAAATGACATTTAATTTGTGAAATCAGTTTCTTTTGTTTAAACAAGGTGTTGGCAATCCATGACTCATAGGCCAAATCTGACCTGCTGCCTGTTTTTGTAAATAGTTTTATTGGAACATAGTCTCTGATGTCTAAAAAATGAAACTCTGGGATGGAGTTATCTGGCCTGGTTGAGTTTGAGGCAGGAGGTTCTGGTTCATGTTAGAGGATGTGATACTCATAGTTCATGGGATGCAGTGGCACAAGTTAGATAACCTCCTGTGGTCACTAGGAATGGAGTGTCTTTTGAAGGCAGTACTTCAGGGCCTCTGTGGCTATTACCAAAGGCCATTTTGAAGGACATAGGAATATAAGAACTAGAGTCCACAATAGCCAAACTATGGAAAGAGCCAAGATGTCCATCGACAGATGAATGGATAAAGATGTGGTGTGTATATACACAATGGAATATTATGCAGCCATCAAAAGGAATGAAATCTTGCCATTTGCAATGATGTGGATGGAACTGGAGGGTGTTATGCTGAGCGAAGTAAGTCAATCAGAGAAAGACATGTATCATACGATCTCACTGATACGAGGAATTCTTAATCTCAGGAAACAAACTGAGGGTTGCTGGAGTGGTGGGGGGGTGGGAGGGATGGGGTGGCTGGGTGATAGACATTGGGGAGGGTATGTGCTATGGTGAGCGCTGTGAATTGTGCAAGACTGTTGAATCACAGACCTGTACCCCTGAAACAAATAATACATTATGTGTTTAAAAAAAAGAAGAAGAAGAAGATAGCAGGAAGGGAAAAATGAAGGGGGGAAATCGGAGGGGGAGACGAACCATGAGAGACGATGGACTCTGAGAAACCAACTGAGGGTTCTAGAGGGGAGGTGGGTGGGGGGTTGGGTTAGCCTGGTGATGGGTATTAAAGAGGGCACGTTCTGCATGGAGCACTGGGTGTTACGCACAAACAATGAATCATGGAACACTACACCAAAAACTAATGACGTAATATACAGTGATTAACATAACATAATGAAGTAAAAAATTAAAAAAAAAAAAACAAAAAACTAGAGTTGACCACATGGGAGAGTTTGAAGGGAATTGCAAGCACAAGATTTTATATTCTCTCTTCAGGACATGGTCAGGAAACCAGGGAGTTCTTGTGACACCTAAGAATATTTTTATCTTCTGCACCTACAGCATTGACATTACAAAAATCAGACCCCAGCTAATCCTACGGATTGTTGAATTTCAACATAGAGTCAACGTTAGGGTTTCTTATGTGAAGGTTGGGCCATTTAATGGAAGACTGGGTCTCCAAAATTAAAATGAAACTTGTGAAAAATTTCATTAACCTCAAGTGCCTGGAACCCCTACTCTTCCTGAGACTCCCTTGCCAGCAGAAATGTCCTCTCCTCCCTGTGAGTTGAGGCTTCTCTGGTCTTGCTTGAAGACCCTGTGTTCTCCCCTCCTGAGATGGCTACCTAACGGGGGTGGGGGGGGTGGGTGCCAATTCTGTATTGAATAGCAGGGCCACCTTGGCTAATTTTTAACAAAAAGGGGCTTGTTATAGAGTATTGACGTTATAGATTTGAGGTGAGGGCAGGGAATCAAGCTTGGATTCCATATCGTTAGGAGAAATGCCCACCTCCACCAGGGTGGTTCTGGTAGGGATCCCACTGCTGCCAACACCCCTGTCAAGGCCTTCTGATGCCAGGAAGGGGCCAGTAGGACGTCTGCCACAGGTCCCTCAGCACGCCAGGGCTTTCACTCGAAGGGATGGTCTCCTCTCATGCAGCTGCCACCTCAGTTCCTGCCTCCACCTTCTTGGAGGAACTTAGGTCTCATGTGGGGCCCGAGCTGCAGGGAAGCCCGGAAAGGGCAACTTTTTGTAAGTACAGTCTTTATTGTAGAAGAACGCCTGGTAGAACAAGGTTGGAGTGAATGTCAAGTGGATCAGTTGGCAGTCTCTGCCCAACCCATAAGCCCACTATCCTATGATGAACAAGCCAATCCCATTTTGGGGGAAAATCTGTCAAGCTTTTAAGTCTCCCTTTATATGTTCTATGTAAAAAATGATGCAATGCCATATTTTTTACTTTATCACTTTTTCATTCCACGTTGTATTATAAACATCTCAGTAAACTGTTTCTACAACATCATTTTTAAAGATTGCAGCGTAGTCTATCATATGCAACGTAGTCTCTCCCCATAATTGAACATACTTTATTTCTAATTTTTCCCTTTTGGGAATAGTGTGAGCATGATTATCCTTGTAGTCAAATATTTGAACTCCTTTTAAATTATTTTTTCACAATAAATTCTCAGATATGAAATATCTGGGTTGATTTATTGTCTTTTGGTCTCAGTTCGTTTTCATCAATAGCTTCATCTATTCTCTGGATCTCCCAGACTAAGGATTATAGACCTTTATACCTTAAATAATTAATATTCTGGGTTTTTCTCTCCTGGATATGGCTTCTCATTCTGATACATAGTTTGCCTGGTTTGGTATTTCCATGTTGTTCACAGCTCTCCTGTAATTCATCTTAAGTCTTTTGTGGAATGAGGCGTGGGGGCATGCATTTATGAATTTGTACATACATAGGTATGTCATGGGAATTTGGAGCTGGTTCCTGACTTCATTCTGGTCTTTTTGCCCCTTTCCTGTTCATGATTCCGTATTGATGGGTAATATGCCTGCTTACTATTTTATTTAATATACTCTTAAAAGTAATAAAATAAGCATAACTTTTAATGTGAATGTCTTATTTTGCCACTTAAGTTACAGATTTCAGATTAATTTTTCCTTCATTTTTGCCTTATTTTGATAGCAATGAGTGATCATTTGAATATATTAAATTCTTTTTATTAGGAATGACAGTGATGGGGAAGGAGAATCTGATGATCCTGAAAAAAAGAAACTACAGAATCAACTTCAAGGTTGCTTTAGATTTCATTTTTAAATTTACTATCTTATTTTTTTAAAAACCTCATAGTGAATTGTCTATTTGAATTATTTTTTCCCCCTCTATTCAAATGAGGTTCAAGAACTGGCTTTGGTTCCCAGTGGTCACATGCTGACTTTGTCAGTTTTCATAGGATTTGCTGTATAGGGTGTCTACTAAGTTGGTTTTTCCCATGTAGTAAAAACATTGTTTGGTTTTATATGTGCCTTAAAAAACCTGTCAGTCAACTTACTCTTTTTCATTTTGTCTTATTTGCCCCCTTTTAGAAAAAGTAGCATTTACACTACTAGCCACATTATAAAATCTGACAGTATTAAAATTTCCAAATTGTCAGAGGAACAGAATAAATTGGGACTCATACTTGGCTTTTATTGCTATTGCTGTAGCTGATTCATTGATGGTTTATTTCATGTTTCCAGACCTTTCTCATCTATGTTTTATAATATTTCAGTGTCGCCATTTACATTTATCTCTTCAGCTTTCTGTTTTTACCTTCCAGAACTCTAGAAGTCTTTCATTCTCCTGTGCGTGTAGTATAGTGACATGATGAGAGGTATGGATTTTGGTTCCGTTCAGATCTGGAGTCCCCTCCAGGGCCCGCTGCGGAAAAGCGGTCTGATCTTGGGCAGGTTCCCGAACCTCTCAGAGTAGAAGACCCCAGCTCTAAAATGGAAATTACTAATACCTTCATTTCTGGGCAGTTAGAAGATTATGACAGTGTAAAAACTGCCAATGTTATATCTGACAAATTTTAGGGCCTCAGTAAACATTAGTAGCTGTATGTATCTAAAATTGCACCTGTTTAATTGCTGGCTTTTACTGAGATTTGATTGTCTTTTGATATGTTAGCTGATGACTTTTTGAGTTGAATTTTATGTATTTTGCTCATTTGAATCTTGCCAAATAGAATGCATAACTGGGAAGGATTTCCATTATAGAGGCACAGCTGGGTTAGTGAATGGTGAATATATCTAGCTTAGCCAGTCCTTTAACCTTGCTGTACCAACTAGTCTCTTCATTTTTATTCTAGTTTTGGTTTTACCAGCCCCACTGGGGTATATAGGAGAATACTATAAGGTTAATATCTTGAAAGCACTACAGTTAGTGAGGTTAATTTATAAATGAGAACTTCAAAGGTGGATGACGTCCAAAAGGAAAAGCTGAGTTTCTGCTGCCACACCACCACCGCCTGGAACAGTGTGGGCACACACTTTGTAGTCCGTTTTGCTGGACAACCCAGCGGTCTGTGCCAGGTGGCCTTAATTCGATTGTAAGGCAAAAGATGTTTTTTTCCTGTCCTTTTGGTTTTGTTTCCCTCTCTCCCCCAGAAAGTAAAAACTGGAGTGTATCTTTAGTCTTGGAAAAGATACAAGCCCGTTTTTAATAGAGAATTTTTCTTTAAAATCAGTAATGATAAGAACCAGAGATGTATAAAAATACAAATGCCGAAAATATTTAAATGAGGAAATTTATTTGGAATTTCAGGATGAAGTGGAGTATGGAAGGAGTCCTAGCCTTTCATATCTCAGAGTCCTTTTTTCTATCTTTTCATTTAATAGTTTGCTCATGGATTTCACTGTATGATATCCTTTTTTGAATTTTTCCTCTTTTTTTCTGAAAGAGTATTTTAAATCTTTTACTTCTGTTTTAAGTTATGACTTTAAGTATAGTATTTGATTATTAAAATTAAAGAATATATGATTTGAGTTTTTTGTTAGCTCTTTTGATGCTCAGTGACTTTTGAGGTTTAATAACGTGAGTGTAATCAAAGACTGGATAAATTTATATAATTGGAAACATATCATTTGGCTTTTATTCCCAATAATCCCTCTCCCCTTTTTAATTACTACTTTTATTAATACTACTTTTATGTAAATAATCTTGTGTCACTAAACATTCCAAAGTGACCTTTAAACTTCAAAAAGTATTAGTTATATGTGAAGATAAGTTTTGGCATAATTAGAAAATCCATACTTAGAAAAAACTTCAGTTTACCAGATGCTGCTGATACAGAAAGTAAATTTACTTTTCTTTTTTAACTATCACAAAATCCTATCAGATGATGTAAATATCTCCTCACATAGGGTTACTAAACTGAATGGAACATAGAAAAGAAGAAGTGAATTGGCTTTAATTTATACTTAATGTGAACTTTTAGAATGCAGGAAGTATTTATGGTTTCATTTAATTTTAATCTGTAGCTAAGGATTTTCATAAGTAGGTTGTGTAATATAACTACTCTTATAATAATAAATGATGTTTTGTAGCAAGAAGAAATACCCATAAAACTAACTTCATTGGTAATCAGTGAATTGTGTAAGTGGTGATGTTTTGCTGTACTTAAAACAATTCCTTATCACCTTAGAACCAGCTTTTGGAAAAGCTTTTGATAAAAGAGGATTCAAAAAACTTTTGCCAGTAAACTATATTAGAAGAAACCTTTTATAGACTCACTGCAACAAGTGCTGGGGCTTCTGAATATATTGTATTGAAAAACTAAATCATTTAGATAACTTTTTAATGTGCAAAAATTGTAAGTAGGTCTATTTATAGGCTCCAAAGAAAATTTGGCAAATCTCAGGAAAGTATTGCAGATCTCCAGGAGCACATTGTCTCTCTCTCCATCATCCCCTCCCTCCCATTTTCTCTACTATTTATCTATCCGTCTGTCGGTCTGTGTGTCTAAGTTCTTAAGTATCTTTTCCTTTTGGTGCTTAAGGAGAGCATTAGATCACTGGGTATTTTTGTTAAGAAAAAAGTAGATCAGCCCCCATTGAACAGGTACTTTTAATACTTCAGAATCAGTTCATTCAAACATTGTAACCACTTGATGTAATGCTTGGTGCTTTATCAAACACTCTAATATTCATTATGTCATTTGATCCCTCCACTGACCCATCTTAAGTAGTTTGGGCAGACAGTATTCTTTTCATTTCATGGTGAGGAAGCGGAAATCGGAAAGTTAAGTGACCTACCCTAGTTTAGCCAGTCACCCAGCCCAGCTTTCTGACAGCCGCTGACTCCGCCCCAACAGCTACTTCCTAATCACACAGTTTCAAGAAGGTTTTAAATAGATAAAACTTTTTCAGACAATTTTACAATGTATTTCTTGAATGTCATTATTTCATGTTGTCTTCTATGTTTGATGGAATAATCTTACTTAATTTAAAGATGACGTACTTCTCTTGTAGGTGCCATTGTTATAGAGCGACCAAATGTGAAATGGAGTGATGTTGCTGGTCTCGAAGGAGCTAAAGAAGCACTTAAAGAGGCTGTGATATTGCCTATTAAATTCCCTCATCTTTTTACAGGTGAGATGACTGTTACATAGGTTTTCTGATGATTGTTTTAAATTTAACATTGACGACTGAGAGCATTGTGAATTTTTGTCACCATATTATAAGTTAGCACCTTAATAAATTCTGTTATAAGGCAGTGATATACCTCTACACAAAAGTCTTTATTTCATACACATATTTGTAGTATACACATATTGCCAAAAACCTAAATGTCAGCCAGTAGGGCAAAGGGTAAATCACCAGCATGCAGCAGAATACTGTGCACTCGTTCAGTTAGAGGGTGCGTCTACATTAAGAAATTTAGATCTATGTTATAATTGACATGAAAGAATGTCCACATATATATATAAAGATCAAAACACAAGCTATGAACATGTGTAGTATGACTCTACATTTGTGAAATAAATGTGTGTGCTGAGAAGTAAATGTAGACAGACTGACAAAAATGCTAATGTTATACCTAGAAGATAAGATGATGGGTTTGAACTTTCATCCGAAGTTTTTACAGTGGCCACGTGCTAGTTTGATCAGAGTTTTTCCCGTTTCTTACAAAGCGGAGCAAGAATTATTTAACATTTTCAGACGAAGTACCTGTCCTCTAGGGCAGCTCGTTCTCACCGTGAGGAGACTATTGCTAACACAACCATCTGGGTATAGTTGAAGTTCCAGCTCTAGCAGCAGCTGATTTGTCTGTGCTGAACCATTCCTTCCATTGTCCTTTTTGTAACTGATAGCCTGCCTGTGTGGTGATGTGGCTATACCCACAGCGTAACCGTGAAACAGGCTGTCCCTTTTAGAAACAAGCTGCTTTATGTAGAGAGCAAATCTGTGGTGTTGGCCTCAACCTGAACAGGTCCAGAAAGTGATGTCATATAGAGGAGTGATGAGCAAAGACCCTGTGAGCCACTAAGGGTCCGCCAAGCAAGGTATGACTTACAACCTAACTTCAGAAATATGAAATAACAGTGTAAAAGTTGATATCGTGATCCTGTAAAGGCACAAAAGTATGGGTGAGCTCATTTTCTATTACTTACACCAGTGTTTTCCAAACACAAGTCATGTATGTATCTTCCTTATGATTATTTCCATATACGTGTACCATTATTTTAAATATGTAAATATTTTTAAATATTTTTCTTTAAATCACTCACTTTTAGAGCATATTTTTATTAAAGTACAGCATAAATATACAGAGACCAGCAGGAACCTAAAAATGTTCAGCTTCACAAATTATCAGAAAGTCAGTGCATCTACGTAATCATCATCACAAAGATCAAGAAATGATACCAGAAACCCACAAGTCCCTCTGCCAGATCTTTCCTCTGCGAAGGTGATCACTCTCTTGACTCCCCCTAACACCATAGATGGTTTTGCCTGTATTTGAACTTACAAATCATCTTTCTTGTTTTTCTGTAGTAACTCCATTTTAAAAGATTGCTTTGTTTCTACTCTAAATAGAAAAATTTGTATTTTTCTAATACACATTTTAAGAATGATTTAAATAAAAAGTATTTGTATACTACCTGAAAAGCACTTCCTATGCCACCAGTCATATATACCGCACTTAAGGGAACACTGACTTACAATTGCAGACATTTAAAATAGGAAGATAGAACTCAAGTCAAAGTTGAGGGTTTCATAACAATAAATACAACAGTATTTAGTTCTGCCATTAGTAATCTACATGTCATTCTTCTGTAGATACCATGTACCCATCCATAGTTTGAACCTAGAATTTTTTAAATGTATATTTGATATTTTTTTGCCAGATGTAACTCAATGTTTTATTTCAGGCAGTATTGTGATTTCTTATTAGGAAAATGGAAATACAAAGAGTTAATTTGTTCACTTGTTATATTTTGGCAAAACTAGGATTTCAGGGAGTCTCCTCATCATTACCCAACCACCTTGAATATGCTCTCTGTAATAATAACCTGCGCTTCCTTGTGGATCAGGAATTGAATAGAACTTTGTGAGGGATCAGTCAGACTGTGTTAGTTTCATTCCTCCAAAATATTTAAAAGACTAATATTCTTAATATTAAAGAATCAAAATATTTTATAAGAAATATAAATATTTAAAAGAAAATGTTTCCAGCTGCCCTTGCCCTGTGGATCTAGTTTATCCTACTGTATTCTGATATTGAGTATTGCACACAGCAGACAATCAGGAAGTACCTTTTAACTGAACGATTCTGCCCTTACTAGACTATAAGCCCATGGAGGGCAGAGATCCTTTTGTATTCAAGGTTCTTGGTCTATACATTGTGGTTTTAGTACATAGTGGTTGAATGAATGAGTGAAGTAAATGAACTTCCTGTTAGAAGGATTGTATCTATGTAAACATACTTGACAAAGTGTTCCCCAGAAAAAGCAAATAAGAGGGGCGCCTGGGTGACTCATTCGGTTAAGTGTCTGCCTTCGGCTCAGGTCATGATCCCAGGGTCCTGGGATTGAGTCCCACATCAAGCTCCTTGCTCAGTGGGAAGCCTGCTTCTCCCTCTCCCACTCCCCCTGCTTGTGTTCTCTCATTCTCTCTCTCTCAAATAAAGTCTTTTAAAAAAAAGAAAAAGCAAATGAGCTACTTCTGTTTTATTTATTTAAAAGTTTTTTTTTTTTCTTCTGATAGCTGTAGAGTGAAAACCTCTTCACAGTATTCTTCAGTATGGATGATGTCTCTGGTAACAAATTAACAGTCTTGAGATTCTCATGTTATTTTTCTAATGCAAATTTTAGGCAAGAGAACGCCTTGGAGAGGAATTCTGTTATTTGGGCCGCCTGGAACAGGAAAGTCCTATTTAGCCAAAGCTGTAGCAACAGAAGCAAACAACTCCACGTTTTTCTCAATATCTTCCTCTGACCTTGTCTCAAAGTGGCTAGGTGAAAGTGAAAAGTAAGTAGTAAGTTGATTTTTTTTTTTTTTTTTTTAGTTTCTCTTTGCCTGGTAATTGTTATATCAGTCTATAAATTAATAGGCTTATATCATTCATAGGTATTCAGAGAAGTGACATAAGTATTCATTTCTGTGTCAGATCAGTCCCTAGTTTGAAATTCATTTCATAGGGAAAAGATAGCATATGTACAGTTACATATACTATAGTTTAGTAAATCATAAACTGAATCATCCAATTGTAGGATTCTTATTTTCTGGACCCAAAACATGATTGGACTTTAGAGTTCTTATAATACTGTATATATTCTGTTTTAGTGTTCTTTATTAAGTCATGTGTCATTTACTATTTTTTTAAAAAACTGAAAGCTTTTACTTATTTTTAGGCTAGTTAAGAACTTATTCCAACTTGCTAGAGAGAATAAACCTTCCATTATCTTCATTGATGAAATTGATTCTCTCTGCGGCTCAAGGAGTGAAAATGAAAGCGAGGCTGCCCGTAGAATTAAGACGGAGTTCCTAGTTCAAATGCAAGGTAGGGGTACTGACTTCTAAAATAGTTTCTATTTATTTTATAACTGCTATTATCATAATAATGGAAAAAATTCAAGCCGAATTTCTCCATTTTAGCAGACTAAGTGTTCTCACTGTGCCATGTTTCATTCTGATTGTCCTACACATGCACACAAAGTCTGCACCCCGTTGTAATCATCTGTAGGATTCTGGCATAAACAATAAGGAGATGCGCATATTCACTTATAACCTACCAGGAACACTATCAGTGAAAGAATGTGTAGACTTCAAATGAAATCTTTTGAGAAGAATATGAATAGTATTTGTCCATAGTCTAGCAAATTTGATTCTTGGAAATATTTGCATCATATTTGAATAATGTGATATTTGATTAAAGACAGTTTTTTCAGAGAGAGACTCTCAAGATGAGGCACTTTAACATTAAAACACTACATTCTTAACATATAGATGAGGTTCAAAGAACACTAAAATGACAAATTACTTAAAATATTACGTATTTTGATGCAGGCGTTGGTATAGACAATGATGGAATTTTGGTTCTGGGAGCTACAAATATACCCTGGGTTCTGGATTCTGCCATTAGAAGAAGGTATGATGATACAATGAAGATCTTATTTCTCACTGCAGATGTAGTAAGTCAGTGACAGTTCCCTTTTTGTTCATTGAAGAGGCATTCTGACAACTTTTCAGAATTTTTTTGATGTACTCTAACCCTGTTGCCCCCTGCGTTGGGGGAAGAGAGGCAGGCATTTGTTTGCTTACTTGCTTGCTATATTGAAGATATGAGATTTTCGTATACAGAATCTTTCACGTTGGAAAATATATTACCTAATGCTTTTAATTCTAATTAAGCTTAGTGTAAGGCACTGATGCTTCAGAAATGTACAAATGTAGCTTGGTATTTCAATGGGAAACATTCACATAAAATTTTAGCAAAATGACAATCATATAAGTTAAAGTATGATAGACAACCAAGATATATTTTCATTAAAACTTTATAATTTTTAAATTACATGTTGAACTTGAGCTCCAGGAAAGGTATACGGACTTGTTACTTTTCATGCACACTGTTCCCTATTTCATTCATTGAATTTTGCATGGTAAAAATTAGCACCAGTTCTTGCCACTTTTATCCCATTCACTTGATGGTTTGCCAGGATGCTAGGTTACCATCCAGTATTAAGAAAGGAGATCTGCTGGTTATTTTTGAAAAATGGCCTAATTCTAAACCCATCTCTAGAAATAACGGAAATTTAAAATTCTCATAGCCACAGAGAGTTACCTCAAGAACTAAAAGTCTTCACAGCCACTTAAATTTTCCCTCGTTGCTTCCTCCCTACCCAAATGCTGAAATTCTGAGAAGGCAAGCAAAGTTACTGTTAATAAAAACAGTGTTTACTTATGAACTACTAGAATTATTTATCCTGAATGTACCTTTTATAATAAAGTGGACATTTTGTGTAGACATAGGTTTATTAGATAAGATTTTGAGTAGCTTTACCGTTTTGAATTTAGAGAATTATTTTGCCCTCTCTTATTTCATATGATTAACCATACTAATCCCTGGATCAGGAGTTCAGAGTATGATTCTATGAGAAGCTAATCTTGTGGGACATATCATGTTGTGAATTCTAGACCTTATAAACACTATGGCCAAAATAACCCAAAAATCATGTGAGAAAGATTAAATTACTCCAAACTGGTTCTCTGGCTATTTTGGTTTTACTTGTTAGTTGCTAATGTGTTCTGGATATTTTCCCATTATTTAATGTAAATATATATGTTTAACTCTGACACAATGGGCCCATTTAACTTATTCAGCTTAGCTTTATGTAAATGAGAATATCTGAGCATCTCGTTTCTTGAGGAATCTGAATTTTCAGTTGAAATTAAATATATGTAGTAATATTTTTGACGTAAATTTCTTTCATTTTAAGATTTGAGAAACGAATTTATATTCCTTTGCCTGAGGCCCATGCCCGAGCAGCGATGTTTAAACTGCACTTGGGGACCACTCAGAACAGTCTCACAGAAACAGACTTCCGAGAACTTGGGAAGAAAACAGACGGTTATTCGGGGGCAGACATAAGTGTCATTGTGCGTGATGCGCTTATGCAACCTGTTAGAAAAGTGCAGTCAGCTACTCATTTTAAAAAGGTAAGGAGCTTTGTTCCATCCTTTCAGATACTTTTAAAGTCAAGTTTTGAGACCATCGTTGATTTGTCTTCAAAGAATTTCAGGAAGGTTTCTGTTTTATATAATAAATAATGGGTTTATAGAATAAACGTTGCCATTTCTTTGAAAATAAGTTCTCCCACAAAGTTTATTAATAGCTATTATTAATAGTCTTAATGTATTTTAAAATTTTTTATGCAGTGATTTTTGAAGTACTTACTATTTTGATATAAGTATAGAAACTTTAAATGTATAGTTACTGCTGATGTAACTAGAATATCCTCGAGCCGAATCTGGTGCATTTACACCTCGTTAACAAAGTAAAAATACCAATAGCTAATATTTAAATATTCACTGTGTTCTCTTCTATATCTCACTATTTCATTCGTTCCTCACAAAAATTCTACAAGAGGTGCCTGTTGCCACCTGTTGATCATTAATCTCAGACTCAGATGTTAACAGGATTAAACTGGGACTTGGCTGCTAACACGGTTTGCCAAGGTACGACCAGAGAGGTACAGACACGTGATTTTTCTCTAGGTCACGTGTACTTCAGAATCGGAGTCCCCGCTTCCCATGCACTGTTTTGTCTGCATGAATGGGTTGAGCATATAGCATTTTGTAAAAAGACTGTGGTCCTGGGATGTCCCAAGGTATTTAAGTAATGGTGGAGTAGGTAATTTGTACCAGCCCTGTTGCTGAGGACAGCAATACCCAATATTACCATAAACATCGACGTGAAAATCCCGAAAAACGATTAGCAAACTTAATCCAGCAATATGACAAGACTGATATATCATGACTAAGTTACATACATATGTCTTGTCCCACACTGAAATAAGTTTTTAAAAAAATGATGAGCTTGAATTAAAACCTGAATTTAAAGCCTGACTCCACAATTTATTTGTTATATCTCCTGGAGCAAATTTTATTACCCATTTAAGTTTTGTTTTTATCATCTCTACAGTAGAGACAATAGCACTGCCTCAAAGTACAACTGTGAGAAAGAAATGAAGTAGTTCTCATAAAGCACTTGAGTAGTCCGGGGCGGGGTGGGAATAGCCCTTTCCTTCTGCAGCCACTTCTTTACTGAGGGAAATATAGGAGGCTCAGGGTCATGGTTTATGTCCAGCCATTGTATTTTCTTTTAAATTCTCTATGCATTTAGAAGCTATTGATTGTTAGGAACTCAGTCCTTTCCTACCCAGAACTTTCCATTCTATTCTCCATGTGACTGCCAGGGACAGCTTCTGTGTCCCTGAAGCTGGGTCCTTCTTAGGAGGATAAGGTGAGGCAGCCAAATGAATGTTAACATCTGGCCTCCTGCATCACCATCTAGTAGATATCTCAATGGCCCCATCTTTTACTCCCATTCTTAAGGCTGATTATTTCAATTAGCAAAAACAAGATTGCCTGTTTGTTTATTTATCAAATGTCTAAAGTACTACTCTGAGCGTAGAGTTAAGTCAGAAAGTACTACAATCAAACACAAAAATCCCTGCAGCTGAAATTTTTGTGGGGAAAGACAATAAAATACACATAATGAGTAAAGCTAGAATGTTTATTTTTCTGCACCTGCCCTAATCCTGACGTAATATTTAAGATTGATCATTGTCAAATATTAAATGTGAAAGCAGCCCCCAATTTAGCATAGATCTGTTGCCACTTATAAAATACTTGCATGTGGGGCGCCTGGGTGGCTCAGTCGTTAAGCGTCTGCCTTCGGCTCAGGTCGTGATCCCAGGGTCCTGGGATCGAGTCCCACATCGGGCTCCCTGCTCCGCGGGAAGCCTGCTTCTCCCTCTCCCACTCCCCCTGCTTGTGTTCCTGCTCTTGCTGTCTCTCTCTGTCAAATAAATAAATAAAATCTTTAAAAAAAAAAAATACTTGCATGTGCTGGGGCTGTCCGCCCACAGACCCCTGCAGGCGGCTTCATGCTGCCCGGAGGCTGGGGGCGCGCGTGACTCTCGCCCCCTCTGTGAGGGGTGTGCCTCCCGCAGCCCAGGGCTTGGAAGGGGGACGCCCGGGGCTCGGAGCCACTGCCCTCGCTTTCTCGTTGTCGCAGACGCCCTCCTGGGGGGGGCGTCCCACGACCGACGCAGTGAGTGCCAACGAGGACCAAGAGATGGAACTGGAAGCTCTACATTCTGTTTATGAAGGAGATGAAAGCTTCCAGGAATTAGGTCCAGTGTCATTTCAATACAGGATAGGTGAAAATGGTGATCCCAAAGCCTTCTTAATAGAGATTTCCTGGACAGAAACATCCCCAAACACCTCCAATTATATCTATGAACGCTTTTTTTAACAACACGGTATCATCGGCTGTAAAGCAGAGCATATTAGCCAAGTTACAGGAAGAAGTGGATATCAATCTAGGGACCGCCATGACCTACACGTTGTTTGAATATGCCAAGGACAGTAAGGAGCACTTCATGGAGAATCACCAGCCCGTGAATTCTGTAATACCCATAAGCAGTTATCATCTCCGTTGAAACCCCAATACAGCCCCACGGAGTAAAAAAAAAGAAAAAAAAGAACAGCTTTCAAAAACCCAGAAACGTAAGCCAGTTGATAAAACAGATCACAAAGGAGAATTGCCTCGAGGATGGAACTGGGTTGATGTGGTGAAGCATTTAAGCAAAACTGGCTCTAAAGATGATGAATAGTACTTGGAATTGAAGACAAGGGAAGAACATCCTTTAAGAAGTAAACTGGGTTCAAAATCCTTCATTACTCTTTTTCTGGTATTGAGGTGGCTTTTTATAAAACAATTTTTTTGTATGTTTCTTATGTAAAAAACATTTTAAGCTGAAAGTTCATGAAGAGATCTGGTATTATTTTCACAAACTTGCCTTAATAAAAGGTGAAATGTTAAAAAAAAATACTTGCATGTGACTCTAAGTCACAAAGTTTTGTCCTGGGTGTTATTAAAATTTTATTTTAAATCAGTTAGGAATCTCAAAATAGCACTGAAATTACACTTAGCATTTAATTTTGTACTTATTTTTAAAGAAGGAATTTTTGTTGAGAAAGAAAGATTCAGTGATTTCACACTTATAAATCTTCCAAATATCACAGAACTTTCTCAGTTTTGGAAAATGGAGAAAACTTAAGAGACTTATTGAGGATGCCTTTTTTGTGGACTCTAAGACCGTTTAATAGGCATTAGAGAAAAGAGAACTCTTAACCACAGATGTTTCTTTTTTTTTAATTTTAATTCCTTTTCTCCTTTGATCATGTAAGTAATGTAGGAAATTTCAAAATACAGGAAAGCAACAGGAAAAAAATCAAAACCAAACAAAATCTATCCTGTCACCCAAAGATAACTACATTTTGTTGTATATTCATATTTATTTTTAGAAGTAAACATTTTAACAAAATACAGAGTAGTACATTTTCACATGTCTTGATAATTGCCTAAATCTTAACTTAGTTAATTTGTTCAAGTAAATATTTCAGATTACTTTTTTTCCAGGTGCGAGGACCCTCACGAGATGATCCCAACAAAATAATAGATGACCTGCTAACACCCTGTTCTCCCGGTGACCCTGGTGCCATTGAAATGACATGGATGGAGGTTCCTGGGGATAAACTTTTGGAGCCAGTTGTTTGCATGGTTTGACATTTTAAAAAATTTAAAACATAACGGTTTGTCATTTGTGAGACAAAGATAAACATTTTCAGTTACATAAGATTAGCTAGAAAATATCAGTGTGATCAAGCATGTTTGTGTAATACTACTCAAAAAGTTGTAAAGTTAATTGAACTTAAAAATATAAAAAATAATTATCTTTGAAATAGTTTCTTGGGCTTTAAGAAAAATTTTAAGTGAAAAAGCTCTTTTTCAAAAAACAGGTTTCTAAGTTTATATAGGTCTTATGGCTGGGATACTATCAACAGAATACTTATTTATATGGCATAAATTATTGTCAAGACTTAACTAAAAAGTAGAACTGGTGAAATTTCTTTTCTGAATCTAAGATTTTGTAAAATATCCAGAAACCTTAATGCATCTGTCATAGTAATCATAATGGTGTTTTTCTGTTTTACTTCTTCAAGCTTTGTAGAAAGTTTAATGTAGTGCTTGAAAGAAAAAGTCCTGAAACCAAATTTTTATGATAAAAAAATCCCATTTCTATAGTTTATATTGGAGGGATTTATAATTCTTAAGACTTATTTTGTAAGGTATAGGAAGCTTACTGTGAAAAGCTACATTTATTATTTTTATGTTTTCTTATTGGTACATGCTGAGTTTTTTAAATCTTCTGCTTCAGTTACAGATTTTCAAAGAGCTTTATGCCGGAATTAACAGTAACTTCCAGAGGAGAAACTTATTTACGTGATATGTACACATAGATCTATAGACATACACGTACCTCTATAAGTACATAGTATGTATATAGATATATTTATGTGTTAATTATGCTTCTCTGAGAAGTTATTCAGAAACCCTTTTTTGTTTCAGTCCTTGCTATGTTATTTTTTTTAAGATTTACCTCTTTATTTTAAAGAGAAGAGTGAGTGCGGGTGGGGGTTGGGGGAAAGGGAGAGAGAGAATCTCAAGCAGACTCCCTGCTGAATGTGGAACCCATCATGGTGGGGATCCCTGAGATCATGGCCTGAGCCAGACGCTCAACCAACTGAGCCACTCAGGTGCCCCACTTGGGTTATGTTTTATAAAGATTTTGTTCTTTGACCATTTTTCATACTGTTTTATAAGAGACATAGCCCAGAAGTTAATCTTTAATGAATCCCTGATGTTAGCCTATTTTCTTCCCATTTTGATCATAATTTTAATTAATAGTTAAAAATTCCAGGGGCGCCTGGGTGTCTTGGTCGGTTACATGTCTGCCTTTGGCTCAGGGCCTGATCTTGGGCTCTCTGCTTCCCCCTCTCCCTCTACCCTCCCTCCCACCAGTACTCTCTTGTCCCTCTCTTTCTCTCTCAAATAAATAAAATCTTTTTTAAAAAATTCTGAGTATAGTTGGTTTTAATTAAATGGTGTTGTGTTTCACATAAGTATAAGTGAATAACTTCTATAAGTGAATGACTAAATTCCTTTTGGACTGCACTTGGTGAACTCTCTTGTTTTAAGAAAAAAACAGATAAGACCAGAAAAGAGATCAGGGACATATTTTGGAAGGCCTTCATCTTCAAGCTAAAAGGATTATACTCCTGATAGCTAATGGGAGCCATTGAAAGTTGTGGTCAGGACAAGGCAAGCAGCTTAAAGTTACTGTGCAAAGGAAGAACAGGATCAAAGACATCCTTTGGAAAGAATAAGAGAGTTTATTGTTAGTAACTTAGTTACACTGCAAATACTTAGATTTAACCTCAGGTGGGAAGTTAGTTAATAATAAATACAATGATTTTTATTTGATTAAATCTATTACTAATACTCCTCCCTTCTTTTTCCCTGACAGTCGGATATGTTACGGTCACTATCTAACACAAAACCCACAGTCAACGAACATGACTTGTTGAAATTAAAGAAGTTTACAGAAGATTTTGGCCAAGAAGGCTAAACCAAAGACAACGAGGAAGACATTTACCATGTGTGTTCTTTATTTCGTAGGTCCTTTTGCCTTTCTTGGATGGCATTCAGATTATTTCCAGTAAAACTCTTTTACCACAGGGAAATACAGATCTCACTCCAGAGTTCCTTTAATTTTATATGTATTTTTGCTCCATTACCAGTTAAATGCTCCTGTTAACAAAAATTATAAAATAATGGATAATAAGGAAATGAGTGTTATATGAATGGCAAAAAATAGGAATTACCCAGTTAGGAAGAGGATGAACATTGATTGAGATACCAATATTTAGAATTGGTGGTATTTGCAAAGAGCATTTCTTTTTTTCTTTTTCTTTTTTTTTCTTTTTTACCAAAATGAAATAGGGCTTACTTTATATTTTGAAAAACAGTTCTTAAGCATAATTCTCATCAATGTAAAATTTATTTACTTTATTAAAAAATTTTAAATAATAGAATATTCTCAGGGATGGGCAATAAAACAGCAAAGAGCACTGTGATTGGGCTTGAAAGATTCTGAATTGTGTTCTAGCCAAGTCTCATTGATTTTTGATAGGCTAACATTTTTCTTTGTGTAGATATCAGTAATTTTCTTTAAAAGCAGCAAACTTCTATATTTAATTAAATAATACCTTTCACTGTGCAGTCTCAAAAGAAAGACTTTCTAAATTGGTATTGTCTTCATCTTGAAGAAGAAAATTGTCTATTTCAGTATCTTTTTGTAGGAAGATTGACCAAAACAGATGGCAAATAAATACATACTTTTTAAATAATTCTGTCATGAAATACTATAATGGGAACTTTTGCTAAAAGGAATGGCCTCCCTTTGAATTATGGGAAGTTTCTTGTGGGGGTGTGTGTGTACATATATATATATATATAATTTTTTTTTTTTTTTTAAATATAGGCTACCAAGGGTCTTGTCTTTTACCTTTTAAGTCCAGGGAACAGTTTGTCCTTGCCACACATATGTTATCAAGTGTAACGCTTGTGAAGCTTTAGAAATGAGCTAATGTCTCCTTAAATAATAAAATACAAACATGATTATGTTATTTTAATATCTCCAAATAAATCTGAAGGTGTATGTTACACACTTTAGCATCAACACTAAGTTGTGCCTTGTGCGTTTGCATTGGTTATATATGCAAAAGGATGATTAAGTTAGCTGGAATGAGGTTGGTTCCTTAATGACTATAAAATTCTTCCTTGCAAATACTATAGAATAACTTGCATTTTAAAGTATATTTGCACATTTTATGTATAATGCTCTGTCGTTGCCTTTGGATTTTCTGTACGGATTGTTTTTGTTGATACTAAATGGAAATCATAGGCCTGAAATACGCTGTTCTTATGTGAAGTAAATTGATATAACCTACTATTGGCTATATTCTGTGTATGCTGCTTTATTTTGGGATCTGTAAAGGAGAAAATATTATCTAAATTGATTAGATACAAAGATATCATTAGAAATTATTGAGAATGTACACATGAAAATTCTGTTCTTCAACTTTAACGTGAGGGTTGGGAGTTAAGTTGGCAGACTAACAGTTCTTTGTGGCTGCCTTATAAAATAATTTATATTCTTTATCAGCCTCAGAATTATATAGTATTGCTATTAATTATATCACTAGGAGACTTCACATAATTATATAATAGTTGAAATTCAGAATTTTTTGTAAATCCAGAATTTATTTTGAGGAGGTATTTTACTTAATTTGACAAAATACATGACCCAATAGTAAGTATAGTGTTGATGATAAATGGGTACTTTCTCACACTTAATTCTTGAGTGTGCTTAGAGAAGGGTAGCTCAGTATCCATATCACTTCCAGCCATGGCTCCATTTTCTATATTACATCTACATTTTTTACATTTCTGGTTCTAAACCTATTTCTGGAATCAAACAATTTTAGACTTACTCTGAAATGGTAGCACATAGACCATATCCCGTGAGTTCTTTAGGGACAGATAAGTACTCACAATGTTCAGGCTCTGCCTGAACTTGGACTATTACAAAATTTGGGGTAGATGGTTTCTGAGGCTACTTGGTGTACCTCTATGAGCTGTACCCTAGATGTTGAAGAACACTTTTTTTCCTCCAGCCTGGAAACGATAGGAGTCTTAATAAAAAGAATTTCAATAGAAAATTAACTTTTGAGTTTCCTGATAACATGCAGAAAAAGAGAATGAGCATATATATTTGATTATTAACGTGAAGTACCATTCAGCCACTTTTCCCTGGCATTGGTTAGAAATTGAGGCACGCCTCTGTAACGCAGCCGTAGATGTTGCTTGATGCTGTTGCAAATGGAACAACAGCAAGTGCCCAGCATGGACACTGCTTTTACCTCCCCTTTGTGAGCTCTCATAGATGTCATGTGCTTTCCTGCCTCCATACCTTCCTTTACCACCTTCTGTTACTGTACTACAATGTCCTTTCTTCTCTGCTGGTCCAAATCCCATTATTTCCACTAAGACTTAGCTCATGGCCTGTATCATCTCTGCCAAGAAGAATTCCTAAACTACCCCCAGTCCTACCTTTGGCTTCCTAGATTATCTGTGAGGCTTTTTATAAAATAGATCATTTGAAGTGACTTTGCTCTTGCTGCTCTAGTGAAATGATCAATTTCAGTCTTGGTTACTGGGGAGTAAAATCAGAGGTAGGCCAGGACTGGCTCCTCTTGGCTTAGGAGAGCCAGTGCCCATCTCTTCCTACCTGTGAGTTCCGTGAGCTTGTTTTGGCAGCTTGAAATCTGCTGCGGTGGGAGAGCCGTGCCACGGAAATCAAATTGCAGTTAGCGTGGTGCCACACAAAACCAAGTCTGTTTGTAATTGAAAAATTAATATTTATTGCATTTACAGAAATAAAGTACAGAAGTTACATTTTTAGAGTCATAAAAAGCATTTGATAAAATCCAGTACCTATTTATGATTTTTTTTAAAAAAAACTTTACAAACTAGGAAAAGAAGGGAGCCTCTTAATATAGGGCATCTGCAAAAAAAAAAAAAAAAAAAAAAAAGGAAAAGCTGCACTATAGCAAGCATCATACTTAATTGTGAATTATGGAAAACTACTCCCCAGCTATCACCACTTTTCAACTTTGGACAGGAATTTCTAAGTTTAGGGATTAAAAAGGAAGAAACAAAATTGTTATTCTCAGATAACATTGTATATGTAGCAAATTCAAATTAATATAAACAACTTAGAATTTGAATTTACTAAGATTACAGGACACAAAGTTAATAAAATCATGGTGGTTATCTGAGCAACAATTAGGAATTGAAAGTATGAAAACAATACCAATTATAATAGTATCAGAAAGCATCAGATACCTCAAAATAAGTCTGAAAGATACACAGACCTTCACATAAAAAACTAGGATACACTACAAAGAAAAACTTGAGTAAGTAGATGTTCATGAGTCAGAAGACTTAGCAAAGTATCCATTCTGAGTTGATTCTAGACTTAATGTAATCTCAAATCTGGGTCTGGGTGATACGTAGGTCACTCTGTACATCTATGTATGTATTCTATATCTCCAAAAACAAAAATAGATGCTTAATTTATTGATGATTAAAAAATATATTTTATAGTTTGAATCCATTTTTATAATAGTATATTTCTCCTAGCTGTATGTTTTTTGTCCATTTATATAATCACTCACCCAGATACCTGTACATATACATAGAAACAAATTATTTTCACCTTATGTTCATTTTGTTATTTGTGGGTAGTGAGATTTTGGTTGATTTTTTTTTATTTTTAATTTTCTCTACCTCTTTTTATCTTCAGGTATATTTTCAGATGTCACCTTTTCAGTGAGACATTCCCTGGTCATCCTATTTAAAATTGCAATCCCTCCTGATGCTCTTATACCCAATCCCTGCTTTCTTTTCTTCTGCAGCACTTACCATGTAACCTGCTATATAGTTTACTATTTTTCTTATTTGTAATTTTTCCTACTAACATGTATGTTCTGTGAGAACTGGGATTTTCTTTGCTCGTTTTTTTTTTTTTCTCTCTCTCTCTCCTCTCTCTTTCTGCTGTATCTCAGTATCTGGAACAGTGCCTGGTGCCTGATGGTGCTCAATAAATATTTATTGAGTGAATGAATCTTTGTATGTTTTTCTCGGTTTGAATACTTTACAATAAGCATATATTATTTTTGCCCCTCTCCCACGCTTTTACTTTAAAAAAAAAGAAAATTAGGAATGAAAACAAATACATCAAGAAATTAACAGTGGCTAAATCTGGGTGGTAGCAGTATGGAAGCTTGTTAATTTTTCCTTTGTTTTCATCTTTAAATATTTTAATTTCCCAAAATAAGCAAAAGTTTTTAGGGAAGAATTACAGTTGGGCTGAGAGCTGATCACAGGAATTTGTTTCCCTCTTTGGAGCCCTATAAAAATAACAACAGCTTTTAAGAAGAGAGTGAAAAAATAAGACAGCATAGATCATTCTTCAAACACATGGACTTTGGAAGAGTGCTATTCATCCAAACTGCCTTCCTGATTTGGGGAATGCCCCTAGCCTCCTGCTACAGAACCAAAGTAGGGACATCCTGTTTTTCTTCAGCACGAGGCAGCCATCACAGGGGCACCTGACTAGCCATGGTTAATCAGGTGCTGCCATCCAGGTCCCTCTATCTTGAGCACCACAAGGATGTCAGGACATTAAAAACAGGGTCATAGCAGCATCAGTAGCATCTGACCCGATGGGAATCTGGTAGCTTGTGGCGAGACAGCTAATTACATTATGGTCTGTGATCCCATGGAATGAAGTACCCAGCGAGGACAAGACATTGGGGAACTGCTTCGTAGCTGCTGTAGAACAAAATGAAGGCATGAGAACTTCAAGGACTGCTAGTTGAGGTCAGGGCAGGGAGAGAAACCCAGGGATCTTCTATGACTATAAACATTTCTTGCATTCACAGTACTAAAATAGTCAAGTGAAACAATACTTGATTGTGCAGTTACCAAGTGATAATCAGTTGAATTCAGATTCAGTTTTGTGGGGTTTTTTTTGTTTTTTTGCTGTGAAGGTAAGGAAATTTGGGAGGCAAAGAGCAGGGTGCATAGTTTTGGGATGTGTAAATTTATGAGGATTTGAAGGATTCTGAGTCTCAGGACATAACCTGGAGCACTGTGGGTGGAAGTGGAGTATTTTGATGATCAGTCAAGAAAAGGAGAACCTAGTTTCAGAAATGATCAAATCTTATTGATGTGGGTTCAGTCAACAGAGACTCTGAATTTAGTATTTTGGTTTGAGCTGCTGCAAGTGGTTTTAATTGTTTGGCTGGTTGAAGAAATAATTGGACAATCGACTCACTTGGAACTCCATTAATATATAATGTAAAAGGAAGAACCCAATATCTTTAGGAAATAGAAATGCTGGCGTGGATTCACCTTGTAAGAACCTTCACAAGGCTTCACTGTTCCCAGAGAAGATCCATAACCCAGTCCCTTAACTCAGCCTTTGATAGGTGAAAGAAATGCACTCCCAGTTATTTTACTGGCTCTTTGAAAGATTGGAGCTGGAAAGATCCTTTGGTTGCAGAAGCCAAGTAATGTCAATTAACCAGTACAAGCCGAGTGGACTTGGTCAGCACATGAGGTAATAGAGCTGGCATGACAGAATGATCTTCGCCTCAGATCATAAACAATAATTCAGTGGTGCTGGGGTCCTCGGGACCAAGGTAAATGAAGTAAATGCTACTTCATTAGTATAACCAAAAAACTCCCAAGTCTGGCCTCCAAGAGGCTTGACCATCATGGCTTAAAGCACTGTTTTTCTCCCTTGATTTCTGTGGATCAGAATCTGTGGATCTCTAGCTCGCGGGGTCTAGCTAGGAGCCATGTGCACAGTGGCGATCGGAGAGGGGCTGGGGCTGGAAGAGCAGAGCACTGACACAGCCAGGGGACAGCGGGAGAGCTCCATGAAGTCTCAGGGCCTCTCCAAGCGGTGTCTGCATGGGCTAGTGGGGGCTTCCATGCAGCATGGCCCCCCCGGGGCGGTCAGGATGAAGGCTTCAAGATCCAAGTGTCCCAGAGAGGCAGAAACTATATTCCCTTTAGTGGTGGTCTCAGAAGTCACCGTGTGTCACCTCTGCCATACTCTACTGGTTGAAACAGTCACAAAAGCCCTCCAGTTTCAAGGGGAGAGGATATAGATCCCACCTGTCACCGGGAGACAAGGGAACACAGTGAAAAAGGCATTTGAGTTGAAAGATATCGTGGCCATTTTTCAAAAAAAAAAAAAAAAAAAGAACCAAACCTAATTACCCCTGGTGGAGCTGAGGGTTTGAGAGTCAGGAACTGCTGATTTACATAACCGGCCCACGCTACTGTTTGTTTTTATAACCATGGGCAGTTACTCTTTTGA